CTGTGTTTTGAAATTCGGAAGGTTTCTCTTTATATAGTCTGCAGTATTATTTCAGCCCATCGAATTTTCTATTCAATAGATTGGATAATCAACTGAGGGGCCCATATGAAAACTTGAGCTTTTATTGTAAGGACAAATATAGGCCCATATGCATCTAACAGATATTTCCAGTTTTACGAAGTGGGCTTCAATTTTTGTTTTTTTTTAACATCAACTATGCAGATTTCATTGCCAAATCTTTTGTTCGCTACTTCATATATTTTTTCAATTACTCCTTATTTAAAATAAATGAATTTTCATAAAATTTTGCAAAATTCATTTATAAATACATATTTTTGTATTTAGAATAAAAAAATATAAATATTAATTTTAGGAGTTTAATTCCATGGAATTATATATGACTACATCAAATCCCATAAAAATAGATGAAATTTCGAAATGAATTCTATAAACTAAACGATCCAACTTTTTATGATAAAATTAAAGTTAATTTTTTAATTATTTATTTTATCAAACTTGAGCAATACCTTTTGAAATTTTTTTTTTTTTTAGAAACTTATTATCATGTTTTTATTTTAATATTTTTCATCTTTTATTTTAATATTTTGAGCATTTTTTTACTATTAATGAGAGAGATTCAAGTTAAATATTCATTCATCACTAAATTAAATGCAATAATTTTATTAATATCATTTTTATTTTATATATTTATTTTAATAAAAATATAAAAAAATATATAGCATAATATGAATATAATTAATATACTATTTCAATGATATTTTAGGAAACAAAAGTAAATGAATTTTCAATTATAAATTTATTTTATAAATGATTATATAGAATTCAGTTGAATTATATGTATTAAATTAATCATACCAAATATGAATAATTTATTTACAAATGAAATTCATATTTTGAATTTATTTATACCAAACGAAGCATTAACTAGATATTAAACCTACAGAAATAATATTTTTTTGTGAGATCAATTTTTTATTATGGTCAAAATTATTTCTCTATTATTTATATTGTTCATTTGAATAATGCTTTTTTTTTTAGAAATATAACACAACATTTATATTAGTATTTAGAAGTTAGATGGGTGGATCATGAAACGTTACTCTGCTAGTGTTTAGCTAAAAAACAACCAACAACTTTTAGAGCACCTAATATTACCGAACAGAGCCTTAACATAAAAAAAGTACTCATACAATAAAATTATAAATTTTAAAATAGGAAAAACCAAAATATATTATTAATACAAATCTCTTGACCTTTTTTTTCTTTATGATTTGCCTAATTAGACTAAAACAATTAATATTTCATATTATATAAAAATAAAATACCAATTAAAAAATAGTTTGCACTATATTTTATAAAATATCGATCATTAAATACAAGCAATCTTATTGTATTTCTCACTTAAATGTAATGAAAAAAATCACAGAAATTTAAATGTCTAAAAAAAAAAAAAACTTTAATCCTTTTTAATAAAAATGCAATACCACATAGTAATAATTTTTTTGTACTTTCCCATAAAAGAATAACAACAAATTTCAACACAAATAAATATTATTCCTTAAAACCAAAGCATAAAGTTGGTCAGTTTGTCATGCATTTTTATTTGGATATCAAAAATATATAAATAGAAAATTGAGCATACTGTTTTTTTTTTTTTTAAAAAAAAAAAAAAAAAAAAAAAAAAACATAACCTGTTTTTTTTTAAAAAAAAAAAAAAAAAAAAAAAAAAAAGGAGAAGAAACCATAAACATCAAGCAGTCAGCATCAACATCTTCTCCTAACTTTGGCTAAGATGATCCAAACAATAAATGCCCTTTTGGGCACAGTGGCCTGGTTGAGATGGACATAATTAATTGATCTAAAAATTAGATAAGTAATTAACATTTTTGTGATCATTATAATTTTAAAAATATTATCTGGTGGTTGATGCATTTGTACATGTATTATGAGATAAATGACCTTTTTTTTTCTTGGTTGTCCATGAGATCAATCTATGCTATCCAAAGATACATATCAATATTCCTTTCAAATTATATTTAAAAAAAATATATTGATATAATTTCCTTTTTATTTTTTTTTTCAGAATTATATTATATATATATATTATAGATATATAACTATAATATATATATAATTTATATATATATTTATTTATTCAGAGAAGATTTAAATATAGATCTTGTCGGATCTTATACGTACTTGCCACGAGGATATATCTTGTGCATATCATAGTAATGTTGTTATCAAGTACTGCTTAGAAAATAAAAATTCAAAGAGGAAAAAGTCTGTGAAGACTAACCGCTGTTTCTATGTTACTAATGATTGAATTTATCACAGTTCAAGCCAATTCTACTCATTAAATGTGCCTAAAATTATTCTATATTTTATAATTGAAGTTCATAAAATTTGGGAGTAATTGCATTTGCACTTGAAATTTTTTAAAAAATAGTATTTTATTATTTTTAAAAGTTAAAAGAAAATAAATATATAATCCGAATGAAATAGTTCAATAGTAAAGAGCACTTGCGGGGTTAATCACTATAACATAGGTCATGAATTTGATTCTTTCCAACTCAAATTCTTCCTATATTAGCCCTTTCACCCTTAAGAGCGAATAAGAATTAGACAGATTTATGGACTGGATTGGATACCTCACGCAAGTATAAAAACAATATACAACGTACATCATCCCAGAGATATACCACATGAAAAGATTTTTTTTTTTTTTTTTTTTTTTTTTTTTTTTTTCATTGAAAAAGATTTTCTTTCTTTTTTTTTTTTTTTTTTTTGGATTAAGCAGGTGTGATTAAGTATAAGTTTGGGTGGAGATAATGATAGTGGTGCAATTTCATTTCAATTGGAAAAATTATTTACCACAAAGGAGAAATAAACAACAATCGGTCAATATAGGAACCCCGAGTAATGCCCCTTATCAGAATGGCAGTTGCCTAGTCCTCATCATCATCATCCATCATTCACAATACCACAATCGGTGAAGGTAAAAGTTACTTTTACAATATCCTATAAATTCAAAAAAAGTACTACACATTTATGTGTAAGTAATAAAATTAAAATTAAAAAGGATAATATTAAAAAAAGATAATTTTTTTTTTTTTTTTTTTTTTTTTTTTTTTTTTGGAAGAGTGTGAAAGTAAAGTTTTGGGTGGATGATAATGATAGTGGTTGCAATTTCATTTCAATGGAAAAATTAACAAAGGAGAAATCAAACAAAATGGTCATATATGGACCCCGTAGTAATGCCACTTATCAGAATGGGTTGCCTAGTCCTCATCATCATCATCATCATTCACAATACACATCGGTGAAGGTAAAGTACTTTTACAATATCTATAAATCAAAAAAAAATTATACACATTTTTTAGTAATAAAATTAAAATTAAAAAGGATAATATTAAAAAAGATAAAACTAAATATTATATATTTATTTAGCAATAAATTCTCGTAAAGAAGAACAACACTCATGAAGAAGTAATTCCTTTTATTCTTTATCTTTTAATAGTTTTAAAAGATTTTCTAAAAAAAGCAAGTTTTTAAAGATTAAGAAAATTAGATCAATATCTCTTTTGTAGAGTATATTAAAAATCCTGTTAATATATATTAATTGTTTTAGCAGCGTTTAATTATTAACTGTTTGAAGGATATAAAAGATATTGAATTGGCTGTTGTTAATAGAATAACCACAGTACCACTTTAAAAACTTATGATGTGCCAAAACAATTTATTATTTAATAATACTTTTTTAATATTATTTTGTTGGTCGTTTACAGTTATATGGCATCAAAAAAGGTGTTGACTTGATTTGATTTTTCTACAATTAGATTAATGTTATGCTAAATCTATGAAGTTTAAAAATCAAAAATTAAAAAGCTATAAATTAATAAATTCAACTACAATTTAAAAGAAAAACTTCAAAATAACCAATAAGTGATTAGATTAGCAAAAAGTAAATTTTATTGATAAATAATTAAAGAATTCAAGTCGATATATAATTTCAACCCACTCTAAATTTATTAAAATTCAAATATGTCTATTCAAAAAATATGATACTCAAAAAGTTCGAATGAAAAGTATTTATCTTAAAATTAATTAATTTAATTCTTTAATTGTCAATTAAGTTAATCCATATAACAACGACGCTCATTTTTTTTGACAAATATTTCAAAATCTTTAAAGTTTAAAATTAATACCAAATATCTGCTTTCTCTTCATCACAAAGTTATCATAAATTTTGTGAATATTATTCAAAGGGGAGGGCTTCCTCCGTATAGCCCACAATATTATTCCAGTCCGTTGAACCTCCCATATATAAAAAAACAAAAATATCTACTATAATAGATATTTAATTTGTGAAAGTTAATTGGCTATGAGATACATCAATTATTTTTGTTCTATACCTCTTCAAAACACATTAAAAAGCTCTATGTAACCACTCATAATAATTGAACTCCAATAATTAATGTTGGGTGAAGTGACTAAGTGGTTGAAGTGAAACTACAAAGTACATTATGCTACATTTAAATGGTAACTCTTGAGATCAAAGGCGATAATAGATCATTCATTCCTAAAGTTGGTACAACTTTCCAATAATTATTTTCATTTATTTAATACAAATTATATAAATTAAGTGATTGCTATTTATCAACCATCAATTGAACTTAAGGTCAAGGGTTATCAATTAGGCATACAAATAATTATTATTGATAGATTGAACAAAATTAGCATGTCTTAGTCATTGTTAAAAACCCAAAGTACATAAAGAGGGTGAAACATGTTCAAGTTTATGTGCTTCAGAGAAACAGAAACACTTAATTTTAAGGAAGCACTGGCTGGCTCTGACTGTTCTTTGCCACATCCTCACTCTACTCTTCCCTTCAGTCACCGCTCATAATGACAGCTAAGCCAAGAAAAGAAATAAACAAAAGGCGAGAACCACCTGACCTGAGGCCTGGCCTATTTATCTCCTCTCCTCTCTTCTCTTCTCTTCATTTCCTAGTTTATTACTTACTACTACTATTTCATTTACTCCAAGAAACAGACTTCTCAACTAACATTTTCTTGTTTTTGTAAAAGAAATTTTGTATTTCTGTCTCGGTCTTAAGTCTATGTGGAAAAAACATACAAAAACTATTTCATCAACCCACCACCTTAGATTCATTCTTAGCTTAACAACACACGCTCACTCAAGTCTTTAAATTCTTCTGCAACAGAAACAGAAAAGGAAGTGCTTCTGTCGGCATTTCACGTGGAATCTGTGCAATTCCCAAAAATATCATGAATTCTTCTTCTTCTTTCTTGAAAATCTCTTTCTTGATTTCTTTTTCTCAAATGTAATAACAATAAAAATAACACTGCAACATTAAATATATGAAACTATTATGATCCTTTGGAACTAAGTAACAACTGTGTTTCTATCTTTTTTACTCTCTCTATTTCAGTTAACAATGGACCCAAGAACACTTCTCGATCATGCTCTGTTTCAGCTCACTCCAACCAGAACTAGGTATATATATGTTTCACGTAAAAGCTCTTATGGTTATGTCTTTTTATTTATGGAATTTGATTCTTTTGTTTTTTTTTCTCGGTTAAAGATGTGATCTTGTGATTTTTGCTGGTGGAGCGAGTGAGAAATTGGCATCTGGGCTTCTCGACCCATTTATTTTGCATTTAACAACTGCTAAAGATCAAATATCTAAAGGTGGCTACTCCATTTCTCTTCGTCCTCCTCCGCCAAATGCTTACTGGTTCACTAAGGCTACTCTGCAGAGGTTACCCCTTTTACCACTTCTTCTAATTCTTGTACACTAGTTGTTCATTATGTAGTAATTTTTTAGTTTTATTGCATGAAATGCAATTGAAATTTCTTTTCCATATAATATCCTTCTAAATTTTGCCAGATTTGGATTAAAATTCAAAATGGGCCAGAATCCCCTTCTTAATTATTTTTTTTTTTTTTTTTTGGTGGGATAAAAGATTCAACTGGGCCTAGAATCCCTCTCTATATTTATTTTTTTTTTTTTTTGGTACTGAGTTGTATTTTTTTCAAGATCTTGGTTGTCAGATACTATTTTTGAGCCAACCTGTTTTTCTTTTGTCAGCTATTATTAGTTGAGTTACATTTACTGTATGTGGGAATTGGCCGCGATTCCGTACTGGTAAGAGAACTCTTTAATATAGTTCAATATTGGTTTAAATTTAGTGAATCAATTCGTTCTTCATTCCTTGTTAAAGTGTATATCCCACTTGAACTGGTAATTTAAGTTCTGGTCATTTATTATACTAATGTGATCTGATTTATTGAATCTAAAGTTTTCATTGAAATGCAACATAGCAAGAGTAGTTAGAAGAAGGAAGTATAAAAGGAGTTTTGATTATTTCCTTTAATTTAGTCAATTATTTAGTAAGTTAGTCATCTATATTGTAGGCTGTTCCTTCTATTATGATTTTGTCACTTTGATATTTAAGACCAAACTTGTTTTGTCACTGTTTAGATTTGTAAGATTTGTTAAGACACCCAGAAGTTTTTTTTTTTTTTTTTTTTTTGGTAGTTTGTATTTTTTTCAGATCTTGGGTTGTCAGATTTATATTTTTGAGCCAACCGTGTTTTCTTTTGTCAGCTATTATTAGTTGAGGACATTTACTGTATTTGGGATTGGCCGTACTGGTAAAGAATTTGTAATAATTCAATATTGTTAAATTTAGTGAATCAATTCGTTCATTCATTCCTGTAGTATCAATATGAACTGGAATTGGAAGTTTGGTCATTTATACTAATTTGATCTGATTTATTAATCTGTTTTCATTGAAATGCAATTAGGCCAAAGTAGAAGAAGGAAGCAGGAGTTTTGATATTCCTAATTTAGTCATTATTAGTAGTAGTCATCTTATTGTAGCTGTTCACTCTATATAGATTTGTCACTTTGATATTTAAGACCAAGACTTGTTCTTGTCACTGTAGATTTGTAAGATTTGTTAGCACACCAGAAGTTCTTGAAAGATTTGTGACAATAGAGAGAGAGTTAGAGCAGATTGAGAACTCAGTTCAATCAAATGAGCTATCAAGTGCAGACATGGAAGGTATATATCTAATAGCATTAATACTTTCTATAAGTTCTAATAGCAGTGCCCGGTCCACTGGACCAGCGTCCAGGACTGAGGGAATGGAATCCAGACCTGAACCAACTTGTGAGGTCCCAGTTTTTAATTGCAGCCGAAATGGGTCCTGACTGATCCTGGTCCCTGTTTTTGTGCAGAGCAAGTTCCCATCCTAATTCTAGTTCAACTTTTCTTTTTGTTTTCAATGTATGTTAGAAAATTGGGCACAAAAGGCTCAATGGCTATTTTTAGCCGTTGCATCCTTCTGTTTCTTTCTTAAAGTTTTTAGTTTATGATCTCACCTGACTGGAACTGCCAATTCAACTGGCAGTTGCAGGCAGTTTTGTCCCTCAAACTTGGGGAGGGACTGGAACTTAGTCCTCTCCAGTCCGAGTCCAAATCAAAGCGGTGGCCACCCCTAAGTTCTAGTGAGTTTTGGGTCACAAATGTCGAAGTCCAGGAATGCGAAAATTACAATTTCAAACTCTAATCAAACCATTATTAACTAAAAAAAGTCCTATATATTATTGGATAACTGGAAAATCTTTCAGGTGTTGGTGGAAACTACCAAAAGTCCACAGCCTCATCTAAGGTATGTGATTAATTGAAATTTCACACAATAATATTTGGTGATGTTTTCTTTCATTCCTCATGTCATAAATTCTGGACTTGTATTTTGATTCCACATTTTTAGTCAAAACGAGATTATGATGGAGCTACTGGTGATGCTGCACAGGAAGACAGTTCCAAGTAAAATCTTGCAACTGATATATTTGATGATGCAATGAATTTGAACTATTAAGCATTGACTGTTCAGCTCGGGTTGATGAACAGGATTCGCCTTCAGCGTGCGCTGGAAACTAGGAAAGCTGTGCTCCACAGAGAGCAAGCAATGGCATATGCTCGTGCTTTAGTTACAGGATTTGAACTTGACTGTATAAATGATCTTATTTCATTTGCTGATGCTTTTGGAGCTTCACGGTTAAGGTATGAAAAACTATCAGTATGCCAATACCATCATAGTCTTGTTGTTTTGTTGCAGCAGAAGTAATAGTAGTTTAAGATCTATATATGGTTTCCACTCAGGGAAGCATGCTTAAATTTTATGGAACTATGCAAGAAAAAGAATCAAGACCGGCTTTGGATGGATGAAATTGCAGCAATGCAGGCATCTAGATTGGAGCTACCTTATCTTGGAACTTCTGGAATAGTACTCACCGGCGAGGAAAATTATCCTAACCAAATCCCCAGTCTCTCTGTCGGGAAGCAGAATGGTTCAATAGATGCATCAGTTTCTGACTCTAGCCTTGGAAGTGTAGACCTAAACCAAGGTATGGTACATTGTTGCTTTGATTGTCTAACATTTTTAGCAACTAGAAAAATAGAAAATGTTAGAAAGAGTTAGAGATGGTTTAGAAACAGTCACTATCTTTGATGTTTGTGAACATATTAACAGATACTAGTTTGCCAACATCAACTCTGGCGCAAACAATGGAAAGCAAAACTCAAGTGCCCATGACATGGCCGAACCATCTTCCTCAATACATGCACAATTTTCAAGGACCTTTGTTTCAACAAATTACCCCATATCAAGGCTACCTTTATCCTGGTATGCAAGTTGCCCCTCCTTATTTTCCTGGGAATATGCAATGGCCTCCAAAAATGGATGATTCGAGCTTTGGGCGTGAATGGGAGCCAGATGATCAAAAAAAGCATAAATCATCATCAAAGAAGAAGAAGAAGAAGAGTTACCAAGATGATTCCACTGAACCTAGTGATTCAAGCTCAGAGACAGAATCTGATGACAATTTGCAGAATGGTGAAAAGCAGGAGAAGGAACGAAGAAATAAGCATGGGAAGAAGTCATCAAGAAGGGTTGTCATTCGCAACATTAATTACATAACTTCAAAAGAGAAAGACAGCATGTCGGATGAAACATCTGATGAGGACGAATTCATTGATGGAGAAACCATCAAGCAGCAAGTGGAGGAAGCTGTTGGCACATTGGCTAGAAGACATAAATCAACCTCACGCCACCATAAGAAATCACATCACAACCCAATAGATGAAGCTGCAAATAATCCCGATGCACAAAAAGGAAATGACCAATGGGGTGCCTTTCAAAACCTTCTTATGCAGGACAAGGATTCAGACTCCTTTGGAACCGAACCACGTCCTTTACCAGATCAGGAGTACTTTACAAGCTCTAAGGAGGGAATGTCATCTGCATTGAACTTGGAATTAGAGAAAATGACTAAGCAAAGAGCTATTTCAAATGATTCCTTTATCACAGCTAAGATAGAGAGGAGTAACGAAGGTGAGTCTCGACTTGAAAACTTCGAAGCCGGCGAAAATTTAAAGGTAATGACAAAGAAAAGGGAAAGTACATATGAGGAGTTGATGTTTTCTCAAGGAAATGAAGAATTGGGAAATCATTCACAAGTTACTGTTTCGGATTACTCATCTGAATCCTTGATGATCAGAAAACCAAAGGAAGGAGATTGGTTTATCAGCAATCAGCAAGATAAGCCTGTAAATAATGGTGATTATGCTTCATCAATAGCTGATGATCATTTCCGCTTTGAGAAAAGTAAAAAGGAAGTTGCAGTTGATGATTCATTCATGATTCAAGCTAGACAGTTAGTAGATGATCAATCTGAATCCATATTAAGAACAGATATAAGCATTGCTGCTGATATACTTGAAGCTACTCGATACGACAATGGCAACCCAGAAATTTCACATGATCATAAGGCTGCAACATTTGGAACCCATGAACCTGATGACCTTTATATGGTGCTTGGGCGTGATTCAGGCACTGATAACGCTGTGTTGTCTTGGACTCCAGAGATGGATTATGAGAATGATATTTTATCTGCTGAAGTCAATGGAAGACATTCAGTTCTTGAAACAAATGCTGTTGAAGATAAGCTTTTTTCTGATGATAAGGGTGCTAATAGCAAAAAAGAGAGAAATTCAGGTGGAAAAGTTCTGGGTAAAGAAGCAAGATCAAAAGTTTCAAATGGAGCTCTTGCAAGAAGCAAATCAGACTTGATGTCAAAGACCAAAAAACCGGTTTCTGGAGGCAGGACAAAAAGTAAATCTGAGAAGGTATTTATTATATTTATTAAGTACTATTTTTAAAATTTATTTACCACTATGTGAATGAATTAGAGATAAGAAAACAGATAGGCACTATATGCAACATTAATTTAACATTATTTTGAACTTTATGAAATTGATGATTGATGAAAGTGGGTATTTATAACATGTTAATGGTCTTGCAAATAGTATAACAGCACTACAAAATATAATATGTGTTGTTGTTAAATACTTCTGGGAGAATATTTTGGCTATTTTTGGTTATGGGAATTTATGTATGAGGTGATATTGTTCTTAATCTTATTGACATCAATGTAAATAATTTTTTTCTTATGTTACATGTTCCTTTTGTTGTAATGAGGATGGATAATTTTTTTTTGACTTCCTATCTACTTATGAATAGGAAGAAGAGAATAGAATGAGAATGGAGGAGTTAATGCTTCAACGGCAGAAGCGAATAGCTGAAAGGAGTGCAGCAGGCACTAATCTAACATCCAAGAAAATGCCGGTGAAAAAACCATCTACTACTTCAACTTCCTTAAAGAAAGAAGAGTCCAAAATCCCATCTCCAAGCCAAGAGACTAAAAAACCAGTCTTTAGGAGCTCTACTATGGATCGCCTTGCCACTGCTCGAGCAACAACAAAGGTGGAACCAGTCCAATCAAAACCTCTTCAAACCAAAAAGACAACACACAAGATTTCTGGTGCTGATAATAAGAAACCAAGTCCTAAGACAGTAAAATCTGATGTTTCTCAAAAGAAAGAAAGCAATGTGGTTAAAGAAGAGAAGCCAAAAGAAGTAGCAGTTACTAATGGCATTCATGAATTCGAAGATATCAAAGAATTACAGAGCATGCCTTCAATGGAGAAAAATGAAGCACAATGTAATGAAGTTTCCATATGCATTGACTCATCTGAACAACAAGATTATCTGAAGAGTAATGATGAGGGATTAGCAGCTCCAATTATTTCTGAAGAAATTAAAACTTCTGATGATCATCCTCTGCCCGAACCACTAAGTGAGGCTTTGAACATTTCTGCTGAGAACGTCAATGTGAAAATTGACAATATGCCTTTGCCAAAAAAATCTGAGATAGAAATATCAACTCCACCATATCATGAAATTACAAGTACAGAACCAGTACTTCATTCAAGGAAGAAATGGAATAGCGATGAAACCTCTCCAAAAGCTGCTAAAGGGTTTAGAAAGCTTCTTATGTTTGGAAGGAAAAGCCGAACTTCTACGGTAAGTTGAAATTATTAGCAAGTTCAAGTTCTTGGAAGTGGAGCTAATGCAAGTTTGATGGCTATTCAGTTTATTATTATTATTATTATTACTTTTTTAAGGGAAGAAGAAAAGGTGATAGCAGATAGATATATAGCTCCCACATACAGAATAAGGCATTTGGTGTTGGTGCCAATATGAGAAGCATGTTTTTGTAATTTATCTGGGTTTGGTTTTGAATAGGGTGAGAGTGTAAAGAAATCAACTTTTTTATTTGGTTTTTTTTTTTTCCGGATGTGTACTGATATACATTGAAACCCTTTTTTTTAATCTTTATTCAAATTTAAGGTTGTAATTTGTATGTATCCCAAACCCTTTCCAATGAGTTGCTGTTAGTGCGTTACAATGCATTCAATTTTTTCTTTAATTATGATCTATTCAAGAATGAATGCGTCCTTTCTTTTTTTTTCATTTGATTACGTTACATTCTATTCCATCACGGCTTACTAACCTTTATCTAGATCATATAGATCATGTGGTTTATCTCTTTGGAGGAAAAAAGATCCCTGTGGTTTATTTCGTTGGAGACTTAATATTAGATGAAAATGAAATGCATTGTTAGATAGATAAATTCAGCTGAAATGGCTAAAGCAGAGAGGTAGCTAGGACTGGACCAAAAGGTATTGGGTTGAAGTTTATCTTCAACCAAGATAGTTCTCCTAATTATTTTTTAACAATCTTGACTGAGATTTCCTTTTATTGGAGTGCAGATTATGTTCTTTAAAATTGGTTGGGTGGTTTAAGTCACTGCCAAGAGCTAAAGAAATGAAAGTGTTCTGCTTAATTTGAAGAATCAAAAGGTGATTTAAGTCGTTCCTGTCTTCTTTAAGCTTCCTGCAAATTAAAGTATATATATATATATTTCCTTTGTGGATCAAGAAGCAGCATTGGTGTTGTATTGAGCTTGATATTCTAATATCTCAATATTTTTTATATTTTATTAATGATTAATGCAAGAATTATAAACGTTAGTAGATGTACAAGTCACTGCAAATTATGTTAATTTTAGCCAAATGGCTAAGACTAATGTATACAATACAACTTTCTAGAAGCGAAATCTGGATATATTGCAATTAATAATTGATATGCAAATGATGCTAATTTTAGCCTAATGAGACCTGAACAATTAATATATATATGCACTACAACTAATAATATTTTAGGCAAATGATATTAATTTTAACCAAATGGCTAAGATTGATGTATGAAATATTGAAATCTTTCTACTTTTTACTTTTTAATGTCATGTTCTGCGCATTAAATCTTTAAAAGACAAATACTTTTATTCAAGATATTTTCCATTCATAATGTTTAAAAACATTTGACTTATTATTTCAGAAATCCGATTCATTTTCACTAAAATCACCTCAGGTTCGTTGAGTGGTTTATCTAATCAAACTAATATGAAAATTAACACCTAATACCGTGTTATTTCTAAATAAAAAAAAATTGTGGTTGTATTTAACTATTTACGTATGACAATGATATGATTGGAAACCTTTCTTACATGGTCCACATGGCATCCTATTCGATGCCTAGGTGGAAAAAATTTATTGGCGATTTAGTTTACAAAACTGTGAACAGCCTGTACGACATGTCGGTGGAGCCCAATGAATAGTAAAGATGTATTAGGAAAAAGACTAGACAAAATTATATATTTTTTAATTTATACGAAAATGAAATTAAATCTATTTTTACGAGACAGAAAGAGTAATTTTTGTAAATTTCACTATTTTAGTAATAATTCATCATTAGGATAACATGATTAAAATTGACCGCAAATTCAGGAAACTAACAACCATTTAAGGTAATAAATAATAAGAAAAAAAAATCTTAAGCAAGATGAAAAGGAAAAGTCTGTCGAAGGAAATTTATTTATAATTTTGAACTTTTGGGCCATATGTGAAATTCATGAAGGAGAACTAAATAAAAATTGAATCTCAGTAATATAGAAGCATGACTTCTACTCTCCACCGACAAGTAGTTGCATCAAGCTGAAACCAACTGTTTTCCAGCTATTTTCTGGTGTGGTCTTTTTCTTTTTATTTTTTTATTTTCTTTGTCAACTAACTTACCTTACTTGCTGTTAAAAAATAATTATCAGCAAAAAAGCACTTGTACCTTCTGCTATAAGCAATTGTACCATACCATAAGATAAGGTGTACATATAAATTTAATAAAGAGTAGTGGTTAAAACACCCATTTTCAATCAACTGAACTGGTGCTCTGTCTTTTTCTTTAGCTAATCTCATTTTTCTTCTGGTTTACACTATTTCCTTATATTTCAAAGTTTCTTGGGTTCTTCTTCTTCTATACTTAGATAGAAATCCAAGATTTGAGAGATCAGAAGAGAAAGATCTAGTGAAGCTTCATAAGCTATGGCGTCAAAGCTTCTTTTAATTACAGTCTTCATCTTCGATCTCATTGCATTCGGTTTGGCTGTTGCAGCTGAGCAGAGAAGAAGCACTGTAAGTGTCTATGTATATATTGAATCTCGTTAGAACTTGATTATATTAATTAAAAATAAAAACAAATTAAATCCCGGATTTTTATGGACTCTATCTTTGATTAGAAATCAAGTTAATACGAAAATCAATAAATTTTTTGATTTCTTTTTCCGAAATTTCCTTACCATTAGTAATGGCAGGAAATTTTTATTGGCTCAGGAAGTAAAGGAAAGAAATCTTAAGATCTTGTTTGGAATTCTTGTTTATGAACTTCATTTGAGATTTTATATTCTTAATTCTATGGAATTCATTACGTTTAAACATATTCTATCAAAATTAATAGATTGCAAATGAATTCTATACGTGAAAGGAGTACAAGTTATAAATCTAATAAGCATAAAATTCATTTACAGATGAACTTTTTTAACAAAATTCATTAGCAAATGAAACTAATTCCAGTTAATTTACTCGAAATGTGAATGTTTATAATCAGCCCACAAAAATTATTTTTAATTTTCATTCAAAATCTGCTGTTAGTAATAATAATGTCGAAAAGAGCCATAATATTGATTTGTTTGCCGGCATTATTGATGATTTTGCAAAGTAATAATGATCTTGTTTAATTTGCAGGCTGTAATCAAACAGGATTCTGAAGTAAATTATAATTACTGTGTGTATGACTCAGACATTGCAACTGGGTATGGTGTTGGTGCATTCTTGTTCCTTATGGTTAGCCAAGTCATTATAATGGTGGCAAGTCAATGTTTCTGCTGCGGCAAGCCTTTAAATCCTGGAGGCTCAAGAGCTTGGGCTGTTATTCTCTTCATTACCTGCTGGTATTTTACTATATCCAATGTAGAACTAGACAAGTATTATAAATCTGTAAGAATCCATTTGACACTGAGACAGAAACCTGTTTTTCAAAAAATTAAATTTCAAATGGACTGGATTTGCATTTCCAGGTGAACTTTACCTGCAAACTTGAAAGTTTTAAGAATTGCAGTCGCCATAGAAATACATGCCATAGTTTTTTTATTCTAATGTTGATTTGATCTTTTCTGCAAATTTGTGTATCAGGGTATTTTTCTTCATTGCTGAGGTATGTTTATTGGCGGGTTCAGTAAGGAATGCATATCACACCAAATACAGGACAGTTTTCAGTGACAATCCTCCAGATTGCCAAACATTAAGGAAAGGAGTTTTTGGAGCAGGAGCAGCTTTTACTTTATTTACTGCCATTGTTTCTGAATTCTACTATGTTAGCTATTCCAAGGCCAGAGATGGCTTCAAGCCTTATGGTGGAGAAACTGGTGTAGGCATGGGAACCTACAAATAAGCTCATTTAAAGCGCTATAGTCATGTATAGAAGTGACTTAATTCTCCACCTCTCTCTGCATCAATTTACTCAATTATCTTCCTTGAGTTCCATTTCATGTACAACGAAGACTTCAATTTAATTAGCTTTATTGTAGTTTGTATCATGAGTTTTTTTCTTCTTCGACGTGATATAAGCAAAATAGTTAAGAAATAAAATAAAAATTATTAGATTAACATAAAAAATTAAGATTCATATTAATTTCCAAATTGGTATCAGAGCTAGGTTAAAGATTATTTAACCAACTCTAATACCAATTATGGGTATTAAGATGACTCTCAATCTAATAGATGTTTATATTTTTTTATGTTTATAAGGTAAGACTATGTTATGTTTTAATCCGATGTGGGATTCATGGAACGGTGGTTAGAGAGATGTAGATTTTGAGTGAACTAATTGAATCGACCAAATTGAATTCGTTTGATTTAACTTGGGTTGGTTTTTAATATATAAAAGTATTGTTTAATATCCACAAATATCAGTTTTTTGATTTTAAATTTGATCCAGTTCGGTTCAGAACTAAACTAAATTAACTATTTATATACTCGTAGTTATTCACTTACTCAAAATTTTAGAATCTACGTAATATTGGCTTTATCTTATTTAATCGGAAACTTGTAGTTGATCAAAAAACTTTCATTAATTTTTATTTTTAAAATTAACAAATATTAGAGAAGTTGATATGTGAATTGTGATGCAGAAATAGACTAATATTTTTTCCCTTTTCAGTTCATCAAATTCGGTATGCCTCCTATTGCACTTCTTCTTTTTCCTTTCCACTAATAATTACATTTTCCTTTTGAGAAAAAAAGAAATTAAATCAGTATCGTCATGTTCTTTTGCTTCTTTTATCAGTATCACCATGTTCTTTCTTTCTTTCCTTTTAGTCGACAAAATCGTTCCTCTCTTTTACCTTTTTTTTTTTTTTTTTTTTTTTTGGTTAATATATAAAATATCATGTTTTAATATCCCACAAATATCAGTCCAATTATGTTGATTTTAAAATTAGATCCCAGCTTCTGGTTCTCAAATTATCTATAACTAAATCTATACTATTTATTATACTCGTAGTTATTTCATTACTCAAAATTGAATTTTAGATCTTCACCGTAATATTGGCTTTATCTTATTTAATTCGGAAACTTTAGAGTTGATCAAACTTCAATATATTATTTTTTAAAATATAACAAATATTAAATATATATTGAATTAGTGATAGCAGAAATAGGGACTAATATTTTTCCCTTTTCAGCTTCATCAAAGTTCGGTACTGCCGCACTCCTATTTGCACTTCTTCTTTTTCCTTTCCACTAATAATTACATTTTCTTTGAGAAAAAAAGAAATTTAAAATCAGTTATCGTCATGTTCTTTTGCTTTCTTTTATCAGTATCACCATGTTCTTTCTTCTTTCCTTTAGTTCGACCAAAATCGTTTTTCCTTCTCTTTACCTTTGTTTTTTTTTTACTTTTTTATTGTTCTTAATCATTCATCGTCTATTATCTGGACGAAACTTGGCATATGATACTATTCATGAATTAAATCGACTATGACAGTCTTTTGTTCAGGGCCAAAGATTTTAAAAATAAATTCAACAATACATCCTACTTTTCCTTTTTTTTTTTTTTACTTTTTTATTTTCTTAATCATCACTCTATTATCTGACGAACTGGCATGATACATCATGATTAAATCTGGACTATGAACTTTGTCAGGCCAAAGATTTTAAAAATTCAACAATACATTACATGGTATGATCAAAATTTCACATCAAATAAATATTAATCTATAAAAAATATATAAAAGCAGAAAAATATCTAGTTAATTCGTTAATATTAACATAGTATTGGTTAACTCAATTTCATGGACTTTAATCTCTTATCCATTCAGTAGAGGTGTTTAATTTTCTATTCGATTCGGTTATTTTGCTCATTCCTACGATCAGTGGAGGAGGGAGAGGCTAGGAGCAGCATCACCCCAACACAAAAAAAAAAATTAAAAATTAAAAATTAAAAATTAAAATTTTATAAATTGTGTAAAAATATGGATATTTTTGTTTTCTTGTCAAAAAAAATTTACACAGGATTTGATTGATTATTGTTAGAGACAATAATAAAGGTTACTGAGAGAAAGCTTCTGATTCTTCTTTCTCAAAAAAAAAAAATTCTATAATGGGCTGAACTGAAGCATTTCAAAACACTAACCCTACAACAGACAAAAGCTAACCATTTTCTTTTTCTCGTCTGCACAAAACAGGCCGAAGCCCATAAAATGAAAAGTAGCAAACTGCAAATCATGAATAGTATTTTTTTTTTTAGCACAAAGTCTTTTTTTTTTTTTTTTCAAATTATTCATTGATATTAATTTTAAGTTGAGTTTACAAATAATGGGAAACGAAAAATAGTGTCAGTCACAAAATTAATCTAAATAGTGCATCGGTAGTTTGGATTGTTTCACAAAATTGGAAGAGTGACTCAAATGAATTGTTAGTTAATAATTAATACTAAATATCATTTTAGTATTACATATCTAATAATTTATAATAAAACTATTTCTATAAAATTATTTGGTATAAAAATATGTCTTTTGAAAAAATTATGTATTTATATTGAGTAATAATAATAATAATAATAAGGAATAATGTTGAATAGGTGTTCATATGGCAATAATGAAATTATGTGAATGACATTTGAATCTATACAAGATTGTCCAATTATGGTTGGTCCTCCATCAATTGTACCAAAAAAATGAAGAATGGATTGATATTACTGTTTCAACCTTTGTAATATCTCCCTAAATGTAAATATTTGATGGTGCAGAGTCATGGGATTTTGTAGGGTCACTGAACTTGTTCTTTCTTGGTGTAAGAAATTAATTTTACAATATCTCCTGGAAAGATATTTTACCATTGTTGTGGATGCATTTTGGACAGTTAAAGACTTGCATTCAGAGTTGAAGCAATTCAATTGTATTATTAGATACTTAAAATCTTATTCTGAATAAAATAGATCAGAGTATTTATTTGTAAATTAATACTAAGATATCATAGCATATTTAAAAATTCATATATTTTTAATCATATCAAAGTAGAATTCTTTAACTAATAATATTACAAATGAATTTACTATAATTAAAATTAGAATAATTTTTATACCATGTTTGTATCCATCGCAAAAGCAGCCGACATCAAATACCGATCGCATTTAGAATAGCTACGAGCACTATTACGACAGATTAGGTGCGATCGTAGAATTAGCAACCGATATCATTGTTATTGCGACCGATAATGTCAATTGCATTATACTGCTTTTTTTTAGTGACACATGTGAAAATTCATTTGAAAATAAATTGTATTGGGCTCTTGGTTTCGAAAATAATGAATTAAAACCAAAGGGTGTATAAATTTGATATTTTATGAATTTTTACGTAAAACAAAAATCCAAATCAAATTGTATTTGAAAATAAAATAAATCTTATATTTATTTGTTTCAAACAAATGTAGGTGATTTTCAATATTTCTCAAAGTAAAATTTAAAAAAAAAATGTTGATCAAATAATAATTCAATAATAATGGAAATAAAACTTATGGCAAGGGAAGTTAGGTATTTATAAGGTAAAATTGTGTTGGAGATACAAGTAGCTTTTCTCTGTCATATTGTGTTGGATCCCTACTGATGAAAAGAACTTTTGAAGCTATAAATTTATGAGATCATGTGAAAAGAATGCTTAGCAATAGCAATATGTATCTCATAATTTGATGTTTCACTAATTTTGTACATTTGAAGATTGGAAATTGTTTCCATCAAATATGTATAGCATTTATTTTGAGTCTTTTGTGTAGTTGATAGAATTTATTTCTGTTTCTTCTTTTTGAGAATCCCCATTTTAGAGGTAACTTCAATGGAGTTATACTTATGAGGATTTGCTTTGAATGGGATAGGAAATTCTTACTTATGGAATAGTTATTTCATATTTAATTAGATTTGAACTAAGTTAGAATAGCTATTCTATTTTCTCACTGTTTGTAGATGAAATCCATAGATTCTAGGACTGTAAACGAACTGTGCCGAGCTTTGGTGAGCTCCAGCTCGAGCTTGGCTCATTTAAAAATAGTCAAGCTCGAACTCGACTCGAGCTTGGCTCGATAACCATAAACGAGCTGAGCTCAAGTTCAAAATCTATTAACCAAACGAGGTCGTTTTAATATAAGCTTTAGTTGATTTTGTCGTATTAAGCTAGCTCGTGAGCTCGACTTGGCTCGATATGACTAGCTCATGAGCTCGGCTCGATAAAGCTGGCTCGCAAACTAATGACCCAAGCTCGAGCTCGACTTATTTATTAAATGAGCTCGATAGCTCGACTCGAGCTCGGCTTAAACGAGCTTTTATCGAGCCGAGCCTCGAGTAGCTCACGAGTGGCTTGTCTAGCCATTATGGACTCTAAATACAATCATATAATAATTTTGTCACTATTGTAGACTATTTTAAGTTACAATGTAGGCACTAATTTGGATATGAAACCTACCGATTAGAATGAGAGAGGTGGTGGTTAGCTATCCCACTCCCAACTTCAAGTTTGTGATATTTGATAAATACAACTTTTAGATTAATATTAAGATTTAACATTAATGCTAGATAAATTATTAAGAATTTACTAATCATCTTAAAATATGTAATGCTCGATTAAAAATAAGCATTAATATACATTTAAAATCTGAGATTCTCATCCGGTAATTATTTAGTTGTTTTATGCTCAGACAAGAACAATGATACCTTGTAAATTCTAGAAATTCTTGCACTGAAAACTACATAGGACATATTGTAATCTCTCAATTCTCAATTCAAATACAAATCTTTTTTTTTTTTTTTTCTATTCTCATTACTATAAATTACTAAATTGAAAATATTTTAATTAAAAGAGAGATTTTTAGATATCAAAATTAAAATTATTCTTCAAACAATCTCAACTTTCAATTAAACTGGTGAAAGAGATTTCTTTAGATGCGAATTTAAATCATTCTTGAACAATCTGGATTCTCGAAGCTACACTCTCTAATATTAATTTGATGCATATGCATTCAAAAATATTATTAGCATTCTTAGAATATTTTTGCAGTGAAAAG